GAGGGCACCCTCTGCTGGTTAGATTCATACCCCAGCCCAAAGGAGCATGGTCCTGATTACTGGAGGTCAAACATCTTAGTACCAGGGCATCACTGCAGAAATTCCCCAGGGTAGGCACAACCATCTCACTTGTATCATCAAAAACCTTCCTTCCATCATCAGGTCAGAAATGACAATATTCACTGACAATTGCACAATGTCACCATAATTAGTATCTCCTCAGATACGAAGCAGTCCCTATCCATGTGTAACAAGACCTGGATAACATTCAGGCTTGGAGAGATGCATGTCAAATAACATTGCGCCACACAAGTTCCAGGCAACGACCATTCACTTAAGAGTATCTAGCCACCTTGCTTTGAATTTCAATGACATTACCAATGCAAAATACTTACTACTAACATCCTTAGGGTTACATTTGGCCAGAAACAGATCTTTACCAGCCACATAAGTAGATCGGTGCAAGGGCAGGTCAGAGGCCGGAACTTCTACAGTGAGCAACACAGCTCCTGCCTCAATAAAGTCTGTCCACTATCCACAAGCCAGGACTGTGATGAAATAATCTCTACTTGCTTGGATAAGTACAGTTGTATGACACGCTTGGCTTACTACCATCCAAGAGAGAGCAGCCCACTTAAATGGCATCCCATCCATAAATACTGCCCTCACCTCTGACATATAGTAGCAGCAACATGTACCAAATATAAGATGCACTGCATGAACTTTTTAAATGACCTTGAACAGCAACTTCCAAACTTTTGACCTGTACCACGTTAAAGGTCAAGGCAGAAATTACATGGGAACACCACCACCTGCAAGTTCTCCTCAAAGCCAGAGATCATCCTGACTTGTTAGATGTCCGTCCCACTATGATGGTGTCATCAGTGAACTTGTAGATGGCATTCATTCGGAATTTGGCACCACAGTCTCAGGTATACAGGGAGTACAGTAGGGGGTTGAGGACGCATTCTTGGGGGGGAGGGGTTGGCTCCAGTGTTGAGTGTTATTGTGGAGGAGGTGCAGTTACCTATCCTTGCTGATTGCGGCCTATGGGTCAGAAAGCTGAGGACCCGGTTTCAGAGGGCGGAACTGAGACCAAGCTCACGTAGTTTTGAGATTAGTCTGGAGGGGTTAATGGTGTTGAAGGCAGAGTGGTAGTCAACACGCTGGAGTCTTTGTTGTCCAGATGTACCGGGGATGAGTACAGAACTAGGGATATGGCATCCTCTGTGGACCTGTTATGTCGGTGGGCAAATTGAAGGGGATTGAGGCAGGTTGGGCGATTGGAGTTGATCTGGTCCATGGCCAGCCTCTCCATAGATACAAAGCTATTCACTCTAGATATGATTCTAGTAAATCTTCTTTAAACGTTCCTTAAAGCTTGACATATTTCTAAATCATTAGCTGAGCGTAAGCTATGAATAAAATGGCATTGTGGGTCGAGCTACCTCACACGGATTACAGCAGTGCAAGAGGTAGTTCAGCCCCACCTTTTGAAGGGCAACTGGAGATGGGCAATAAATGCTGGCCCAGCCAGCGACGCCCACGTCCCATAAGTGAATAAGATAAATTCCCATGCTTTTGTACTTTGAGGCCAGAGAAACGCAAGTTTAGTGTTTTGTGGCTTCCGAAACCTGAGGCTAACTCCAAACCCTACATCCTCCATGTAGTTCACTTCAGGGAAGAAAATCTGCTATTCTTACCCTTTCTTGTCACTAATTTTATGCTCACACTGTGTAATTGCTTCTCAATCGTCCTGCACAATGGCCCAGCAGACACTCAATACAAGGGTGATTAGGAATGGCAACAAATGCTGGCTTCACTGGCAATACCCACACCATATAAAAGAAAAAGTAAATCCCAGAACTGCGTAATAATTCACTGCAATTAAAGCACATCCTTTTTACAATGCACAGTCTAATAGTGACATTTGAAGTTGTCAAAACATTAAGCACTTATCAGTCAAAAAAACTTGCAACAGCTCAGCAGAAATCCCCCAATGACTGCAAACTCTCCAACCAGGCAGTTTGTTTTAGGACTTTAAAAAATCCCATACCAACACATGGAAATAGCAGAGCTGAGGGATTTCACATTTGCTGTAGAGCTAATGATGGTGAATCCGACCTCAAGTATCCGCAAGTTTGTCAGTGAAGAATCCATGGCACTATTTTGAAGAACAACAGGGAATGTATCGTTGTCCTGACCATATTTATTCTGCACTCAAAATTTCTTGAAAAAGATGATTGTTTGGTCATTATTCCATGACTGTTTGTGGGAGTAACTGAACATTCATTGGCTAACACCTTTCCTACATTACAGTAGTGATTGCATCTCAAAATGCTTAACCAGGTTTAAAATGCTTTGAAACATATAAATGCAATTTATTCTAACTATTGAGTTTACAGTGTTAAAGTTTCAAACTTTGGAACAATTCAAGTCTCCAAGGTAACATCAGATAGCCAGGATATTACTATTGACTGAAAATTACATAATAAATTTCATGTTGTTATGACAGTGATGGAATGTTTGGGTGTGTGCTGAATGAAATCTAACAGGCAAGACATTCTAAATTTGACCAGCTGAAATAATGAGTGTATGCTGAATGTTTAGCTGACAGGTTTAGTTCTGGATCAAGGAATAGACATTTTGAGAAAGATAATGTAATTCATCATGCTTGTCAGCCACACAAATGATGATACTTACTGTGTCAGCCCAACTGTTTGGTTCAGTGCATCTTGTTATGTTCTACTCAAACTGAGACAACCTTGCATGACTCCCCATCTAGGTGTCTGTATTAGAACAGCCTTTTTGTATTTCTGCTTGTGTGTATTCTCAAAAGTGTCTTCTCAGAGAAATAAATTCAACTGAAGCTGACAGAGTAAGAAAAATGATCAGCATCTTGCATTCTACTCTTCCATTCTGAAGAATGGTCACTGGACATGAAACGTTAACTCTGCTTTCTCTCCCCAGTTGCCGCCAGACCTGCTCATTTTCTCCAACATTTTCTGTTTTTGTTTCAGATCTTCAGCATCTGCAGTTCTTTGTTTTATTTGAGATTCTGAGTAGCTGCATACTAAGTAAGACATATATTGTCTGCTTTAATAAAGTTTGCAGTACTGTCCAGAATTTTGGTCATTTATAGAAATATAGCTGCATGGGAGAATGTGCAAAAATGATTTCCAGGGGTAGAAATGTGTGTTATATATGTTTAATAAAGAATTCTGTAGTCTAGATATACAGATATAAAAGGATATGGGTATAATGCAGGAAAATGGATTTGGGGTAGAAGATCTGTCGTGATCTCATTGAAAGGAGTACTCTGGGCTGAATGGCCTACTCTTATTCCTATAGCCAATGTTCTTATTTTATATCTATCAAGAAAGAAGATATTTCATTTTGTGGCACAATGTAGAATGACAGGTTATAACTTAAAAAGGGGTAGCAGATTTAAAACAGACATGAGAAGAAACTACTTTTCTCATAGGGTCATGAATCTGTGGAATTCACTATCCCAGAGTGGGGTGGATGCTGGAATTGAGCAAATTTAAAGAGGAGATAGATAGATTTTTAATGAATAATGGATTGAAGGGTAATGGAGAGCAGGCAGGAATGTTGAGTTGAGTCTGAGATGAGAATATCCATGATGGTATCAAAGCAGAGAAGGCTCAAGGGCCTGAATTGTCATTCCTACTCCCAATCCTTATATTCCATAAAAGTATTCTCAGGCTTGGGTATCTTTTATTTGAGGTGGCGGAGGGGCAGACAAATAAAAGAAAACTGAGGGAATGACTTGCTAAAGATGCTTAAAATTTTGAAACATTATAGCCATTAATTTAAGATAGTTTACCAGTCATCCAGTACGGAAGGGAATTCAGAAGAAATGTCCTTATCAAAAAACTGGTGAAAATGTGGAACTCGCTACCTCAAAGGCTGGTTGACATGAATAGTGTGCTTCTATTTCAGGAAAACTAGATCAGCATGTGAGGGTAAAAGAATTAACAGGTTATACTGAAAAGTATAGATAAGGAAAAATAGAAGTCATTTTGAGTTGAGTGTAAAATGCCAACATGGGGTGGCAGGACCAAATATTTCAGTGCTGTATATTAGATGTAAAAATATATTCACGCTTTTAATCTGATCAATTAAATTTTATTTAAAAGAGCTGCAGTGTGAATATATTGTCGAATTTCTTAATTCCCAATATTCTACTGATGATAATAAAGTAATTTAATCTGGAATCATAAAAAATCCTAGAATCATAGACTCGTACAGTGTAAAAGGAGGCCATTTGAGCCATCATTTCTATACTGGCTCCCAAAAGGGCTATCCTGTTAGTCTCCAGCGCGGTGTCCCTGGCTCTCTAACTCCTTCACTTTCAAAGATGTATCCAGCTCTCTTTTCAAACCTCCAAGGGAATTTGCCAGCACTGCTCTCCCAGGCAGCACATACAAAATCCTAACAACTCACTGAATAAAGTAATTTCTGCTATTCCCACTCCCAGCTCCCTTGGTGACAACCTTGAAATTCTGACCCTGAGTTACTGACATAACAACAGTGAAAGTAGAATATCCTTCTTAACCCTGTCAAAATTGGCCAAATTTTAAACACCTCAAAATGGCCAGCTCTTAATGTTCTCTACATCAAGGAGAATAAGCCCAATTTCCCTAATCTATAATATATGTTTTATGCTCAAAGTCTCAATATACTAAAACTTAAATAATAATTTTGAAAGTATGTTTAAATGTGTACTGACTGTCTGAATATCACCAAAGACCAAACCAAAATACCATAACCAGTGTCATTTCTGTGGCATCTCTGCCTAAATATTTGATAGTGGACAAAATTTTGAGACCTGGCTTAGAATTTTCTCTGCTCAAGATAGTAATATGTAAGATTATAAGAGCCAAGAATGTAAATATAATGTATTTTCAAGCAGAGAAACAGGTCAGCCAGCGTGGGATGGGAATAGAAAATAACTGAAGCTATATTTTATTTCACAGTGAAAAATGTCAAAGACTCTGTGAAAACAGGAATTCTAAAATGGAGAGAAGAGCCATCCAAATTATTATCTGGAAATAAATTTCAGGAGCGTTACTTTGTCCTGCGGGATGAAAAGCTGCTCCTTTATAAGGACGCCAAGGTGTGTATGTACATTTTAAATGTTTGTTTATAAGTTCTTGCCAGAAAGTTTAATACACTGACAGAGGGGTTTGGAGTAGATTGGAGGTAAAACTGGAAATGAATTTGGAGCACAGACTCCCATCCGCCTATTTCCAAATTTAGTAGAGCAGGAATGCAGGACAGGCAACCAATACATTCCCTGGAGACAAGCTAATAGTTTGAATATTTTACTGTTACTCTTCATTTATCAACCCAAGCCTGAATGTTGCCTAGGTCTTGTTGCATATCAGCACAGACTGCTCCAGTATCTGAGGAATTATAAATGGGACAGTAAACTGTGTAATTGTCAATGAACCTCCCCACTTTTAACCTTATGAAGGAATCGTTCAAAAATTACTGAGTTATTGGTAAGTACAGGCAGACTGTAGGTTAAGAAAGTGTTATGCACATCTTCTGGACTGGTGTAAGATGATTGATATTATTCCTAACGTTCTGCTCCACCTGCATCTAAGACTGCATGTCTGTGGCAGGACATGGTAGAATCTAATATGGCACGGTGAGCAATAACATGATAAGTCAATCCATCAGTGTTATGGCTTCCCAGACTGCAAGATTTCAGAAGAATGCTGGATGTGTAATGTCTTGCCCCAGTTACCCATTAACTTGAAGGGGAGCTTTGAACCCAGACCATTGGGTCAAAAAGCAGAGACTGTTCAATGTGCTGATAAGCCCAGAACCAGCAGGAATGACTGAATGTGGGTATTAGCCAGTAAGGGCAAACGTCCAAATGGAAACCTACTGTCTTCAACCACAGTAACACAAGTGGAAGGTGACATCTCTACCCCAACTCTCTAATTTTAAACTGCTACAGTCGCCTTGAATTTCTTATCCCGTTTATCATCCTCCCTCTTCTGGATTTCCAAAGGTGAACCAAAAGGAAAACTAAAAGGAAAAGTTTTGTAGGATACTTGTCGGGCGCCGATGTAACATTTTCATTCTAAATAGCTTTATAAATAACTGTTGACATTAAACAAACATAACATGTAGAATATTGTTCAAGCAGGTGTTAGGGAAGCATTGTTGATAATATTTCTTCCAGTTTGCTTTTAATTATTCAGGGTGAAAGATTAGAGTATAGCACAATGCTGCATATAAATAAGGACAAGTCATCACTCAATTAAGAATCAGATTAAAATGAGCTGTTTGGTCAGCTTTGGCTCCTATCTTCACAGACAGTTAATGGCAAGGCAGTTTCATCACAGTGCAAACAGAAGTTTTTTTTTCCTTCAGTACTTTTAAATTATAACTTAAGCTTTTGCAAGTAGTATCTATACCTGAATGTTACCAAAACAGTTACAGATTAATTTGGAAGTCTCAAACTTCTTTGGATACAGAAGATAAGATTTGCAAACCAATTAAAATTGTAAGCAAGTTCTCCCGCTTCACATAACAGGGAAAGAATGAAATATGTTTAGATGAAACAAAAACAATTCATGGGAAAAGCATTTTTTTTTTAAAATTCTATTGAATCACATAAATAAGAATTACTATCAAACTAAGGATCGAGAAGGGTAACTTAGACATGCTATTCTTGTAAGAATTGGAACCATCCAATGGGATCCACTATCTCCGTTACCACAGAAACTTGAGGACATTACATGTGGGCCACTGCATGGAGTACTTGTGGTCAAAGATGTTTTTCTGCACAAACTTTTCCAATAAGGGACAAGTGGTACAGCACAATCCAACTGAATGGAGCATTCTGTGGTACGTAGTGAGACCCATCCTTCCCAAAACTGGGGACAGATAGAACATTTACATTTAGTGATCCCTGAAGGAGAGTTTTACCCTCCCTGATGTGTGAAGGATAATGGCAAGAGTGCTGAGTTAAGTCAAGTGAGAGTCCAAAAATTGATGTGGAGTTAAACTGTCACAATTAAGTCCGCTTTCTTTAGATGGCAAGCTCACTTTCTTTCTTACAATCAAATGGTGAGAATACACGTGCATTTGCATCTTGCTAATTGCACTCAAATAAAAGCAAAGTGCTGTGGGTGCTGGAGAACTGAAGTCTGGAGTTCCAAACAACACAAAACTTTAACTTGTACTCATTTCTCACAGCATCCAAAAGGATCTAATGGTGCAGTGGCAGTCTCCCTTACCTCTGAGCCAGAGGGTCTGGGTTCAAATGTCACCTGTCCCATAGGTGAGTCATAGCATATCCAAAAAGATTGATTTCATAGAATCCATCGAATCTGGAGGCCACTGTGACATTTCACATTCTACAATTCTTCGGTGCAACCATGATGTCAATGATGCGCTCTTCATGACAGCCACCAATTCATCTTGTTTCCCCCTTGAACAACTTCCCAGGAGGAGTATGCAGCAATGACATGAAGATTCTCAGCCCTCCTTAGTTTCCCACAGGTTTGAGGTGCAATTGATTGTACCCACATAGCGATTAGACAGCCTATCATCAACCGGCATATTTGTGAACAGGAGAGGATTCCACCCCTGTAATGTTCCAACCATTTAAGATCACAATAAAGTAGGCCTTCACCAGATATCCAGCGAGCTGCCACAACTTTTTCAGTCTGTGGACAGCTCACAGATACCAACCGCTTTCAAAGGTCCTCAGCCTATACAAGGCTAGGTTGCTGCGTGATAAAGTGTATTCACTCCTCACCTGGTTGATGACACCTCCAAGAAATCCTCAGGCTGCTATTGAGGAGGAAGACAACCCTGACCACTCTTCAACAAGGCCCATTGCAGAACAGACCATTGATTGGCGCACTCAAGATAAGGTGCTGACACCAGAATTGGTGAAGCAGTGCCATGCAGTATACCCTAGACAAGGTCCCCCACATCCTAGTGGTATGCTGTGCCCCCACAATGTCAGTCACAAAGGAAGAATGTATTGAATATGAATGAGAACAGTCCTCTGAGGAGAAAGATGATGGTGAGGATCTTCAAGTGGGCAAGATAACAATCAAAGAGAGGAAGACGGGGCATTGGTTTGCCAAGTCACCTGATAGCTACCTGCTTCCATTATGACCGAACTGGGTTGAGATTTTCTCTGTGCCTCCCGTTATTTTATTTGTGCCTTGACTGTCAGTGCTCTGCTTGATGTGATCCAAATTCCTCAAGGATTGAGTAGTTTTCTACTTGATTGATCTGTGTAATAAAATATTGACTTTTACTTTGAACTGGGGCACTGATATCCTCACATCTATAAATTTTTCATGGCATGTGGAAAACCTGTGCTGAAACACCATTCACGCTAAAACAACAAGAGATGCAGTGAGTAATTACCTCACGCTCCTAGATTTTTGTATCTTTGGCACAAGCACTATTTTTGCACATCTCCCATCAGGCGGTGCAGTGTCTGGTGAAAATGACCAAGTTGCCCTCAAATCCTGCGATTGCCCCGTATTTACATTCCACTCTCACCATCTGTGAAGTGCTTTTGTTTGCAATGGCCCTTCGTTGTAACCATGCAACAAAGCCTGACCTTCGTCTCTGATGACGCTTTTATTACTATGGGCTGTAAAGTCTGTTCCCTCCATCGCACTTCACAATGTTGTAATTTGACACCTTGACTCCTATTATCCATCTAACAACCTTAAATATTGTAGCATGGCTTTGAGTGCCCCTGGTTGGAAAAGACCTTTTCCTACCTTGAGCCTGTAGACACATGACAGATTCCACCGTCGCTCTCAGAATTATATTCAACTAAAATTTGTCACCTTATGGCCTTTTAGCAGGAAGGTGGGTGGGAGGAGGTGTATGCTAGGTAGCTGTGGGAGTCGGTGGGCTTGAAATGGATATCGGTTTCCAGGTGGATGCCAGAGATGGAGACAGAGAGGTCCAGGACGGAGAGGGAGGTATCAGAGATGGTCCAGTTGAACTTAAGGTTGGGGTGGAAGGTGTTAGTGAAGTGGATGAACTGTTCGAGCTCCACAGCTACCTAGAATACACCTCCTCTCACCCACCTTCCTGCAAAAAGGCCATCCCCTATTCCCAATTCCTTCACCTCTGCCGCGTCTGCTCCCGAGGTGAGGCATTCCACTCCCGGACATCCCAGATGTCCTCGTTTTTCAAGGACCGCAACTTCCCCTCCACAGTGGTCGAAAATGCCCTCGACCGTGTCTCTGGCATTTCCCGCAACTCATCCCTCACACCCCCTCCCCACAATAACAACGAAAACAGAATCCCCCTCGTCCTCACGTACCACCCCATCAACCTCTGGATCCAACGCATCATCCTCCGACACTTCCGCCATCTGCAATCTGACCCCACTACCAAAGACATTTTTCCCTCCCCACCCTTATCTGCTTTCCGGAGGGACCACTCTCTCCATGACTCCCTTGTCCGCTCCACACTCCCCTCCAGCCCCACCACACCCGGCACTTTTCCCTGCAACCGGAGCAAGTGCTACACCTGCCCCTACACCTCACCCCCATCCCAGGCCCTAAGAAGACCTTCCACATCAAACAGATGTTCACCTGCACATCTGCTAATGTGGTATACTGTATCCGCTGTTCCCGATGTGGCCTCCTCTACATCGGGGAAACCAAGTGGAGGCTTGGGGACCGCTTTGCAGAACACCTACGCTCGGTTCGCAACAAACAACTACACCTTCCAGTTGCGAACCATTTCAACTCCCCCTCCCACTCCTTGGACGACATGTCCATCCTGGGCCTCCTGCAGTGCCACAACGATGCCACCTGAAGGTTGCAGGAACAGCATCTCATATTTCGCTTGGGAACCCTGCAGCCCAATGGTATCAATGTGAACTTCACAAGCTTCAAAATCTCCCCTCCCCCTGCTGCATCCCAAAACCAGCCCAGCTCGTCCCCGCCTCCCTAACCTGTCCTTCCTCCCACCTATCCCCTCCTCCCACCTCAAGCCCCACCCCCATCTCCTACCCACTAACCTCATCCCGCCTCCTTGACCTGTCCGTCCTCCCTGGACCAACCTATTCCCTCCCTAACTCCCCACCTACACTCACCTTTACTGGCTCCATCCCCGTCTCTTTGACCTGTCTGTCTCCTCTCCACCTATCTTCTCCTTTATCCATCTTCTATCCGCCTCCCCCTCTCTCCCTATTTATTTCAGAATCCCCTTCCCCTCCCCCATTTCAGAAGAAGGGTCTCGACCCAAAACATCAGCTTTCCTGCTCCTCTGATGCTGCTTGGCCTGCTGTGTTCATCCAGCTCTACGCCTTGTTATCTCAGATTCTCCAGCATCGGCAGTTCCTGCTATCTCTGTAACAGTTTAACTATCAACTTTGGTTCAGCAATTTCCACTTATACAGGATTATTATTATTTCAGATAAAAGTGCAGAGTCACCTAGCTGTTATGGTGTTCAAGTCTGAGCAAAGAACATTTTAACTGTTTTGCAAATTCCTGACTCAGATATAATATATTGACAATTGGAGATTGGAGTAAAGAATGAAAGTAGTGTTGCTCTTTTGGGAATATAAGCCTTAAAGATCTAATAAACATTTATTGACAAAAGTCTTTTCAATTTGCTTACTAATTATAATGTTTAACTTTTACAGAGCAATAAAACTGAAAGAGAAGTAGTTATGAAGTCCTTAAAACTGTACCTTGGCCTGAAAAAGAAACTGAAGCCTCCGACTAGGTAAGGATATTTTGTAATTGAGGACAGAACACAAGTTCAGACATGAAGCAATGTTTTATTTATGTAAATTGATTTGGCAGACACATTTACACAAAATGCAAATTGTCTTATTTGCATTTGCAATATGAAATGTATAAAAACACAAGGCATTGTGATTAAACATCATAATTCCTTTTCACAATGTAATCTCTTGGAGAAAGCAAAATAAATTATAAAATCAGAGGCCAATTCAAGGCCCAAAATCTTAGAAATCCTTCTCTGCCCTCTTTAGATCATCAAAATGAGTTTGGGAGATTACCAAGTGAGGTATTTACTCAGAAACTTAACCTGTCTTTCTCAAATTTATGTTGAACGCAGCAAGAAACTCACCCAGCTGTTTCTTTTTTAATCATTGGGAGCAAATCTGCACTTGCCTGTCAAGCCAACAATTTATTCTAAATATTGATAACTTTTTGCAAAAAGCAAAATGTCTTGATATGCAAGCTAATTCAATGTTTGTAGGTCATGAATGAACTCTGATTTTTCCTATCCTATGTAGTTAAAAGGTTGTTCTTGGAAAGATTGAGGATCTTCCTAAGTGTATTACAACCAAGAAAGAATGTTTACGTATTGTCATTGTTTTAGGAAACAAGCAGTTGATTCACCTACTGCAAACCCCACAAACAACAATCCTAATGACTGGATAATTTACTTTAGCGATGAAATATGACCAGGAAATCAGGAAGCCCACTTCTATTCTTTTAACTGGCACCATGAAATTTCTTACATCTATAAGAGAGCAGACAGGCTTTGGTGATCCAAAAGACATAGACCATTCATCAAGTTTAATAGTGTATGAAATCACCCCACAATGTATGCTTTCCAAAAGAAAATATGTTCAACTGACCTATCGAAGTCCGGTGTATCAAGTAGTATATCCCATCAACTACTTGCCCTCAGAAAGGGACTGATTTTATCCAATCTGCCTGTACTTGCAGAATTTGCAGTAACTTTTGCAATTGGACAGCATTTTGCTAGATAATCCTGACTGTGCAAAGAATTATGCTGATAACCAAATTAAAATTGACTGTTAGTCAGTCACACAGTATACTGAGAGTATAGCATTAACACACAGGCCCTGTTCTTTGCAGACAGAAAGAATATGTACATGCATTGAGCCTATTTCAACTGAATAAAATAAGTTGTAGCTATTTGCAGGTTTATTTCTCAGGGCAAATGCCTTGACTATTCATAGCTAATCTGCCTTTAAAATTTAAGCCAAGTCTGGCAGTTAACTGTCAATCAACATTAACTGGTGTATCTCCATGGCAAAACCTCTACCAATCAGAGTCTACTTGCCAACCAAATAATGTTCTCCTCTCATTCAGTATAAATGTTGGTTTTCCCCTTAACTTTATATTCTTGTGAAATGTCCTGATGATTTTAAAATAAAAAGCCTTGAGATTTGTGTCTTCCTTTCAGCAATACCGCAGGTAGGATATGTACTAACAAGCTAATTTATCAGAAAGCTGACTTATCATAATAGACATGTAAGATCGACACTGGTTAGAAAACTGGGGAGGATGAGCGTAATAGCTAAAGCCACAGAATTAAGGGCTACATGTCTAGCAATGGCCAATGCTCTTGAAGCGTGAAGTCCAATGTCTTGTGAAATAAGTATAATAATTTTGTTGTAACCACATTTTTTAGTTTGATATGAATTGATTTTGACAGTACATTCATACAAAAGCAGCAACATAGGATTCAGATTGGCTGTTTTAAAATTGTATTCATTATGTGGGTGTTGCTGGCTGTTTATTGCTCATTCTGAGTTGCCCTTGAGAAGGTGGTGGTGAGTTACCTTTTTGAATTCCTGTAGTCCATGTGCTGTAGGTGGGCCCAATATGGCCTTAGGGAGAGAATTCCAGGATTATGACCCCAGTGACAGTAAAGAAACAGTGATATATTTCCAAGCCAGATGCTGAGTGTCTTGGAGGTGGTGATGTTCCGATGTATCTGCTGTGTCCTGCCCTTGTACTTCTAGATGGAGCTGGCCTCTGGTTTGGAAGGTTCTGTATAAGGATCTTTGGTGAATTTCTGCAGTGCATCTGTAGATAGTACACACTGCTGTGACTGAGCATCAGCGGTAGAGGGCAGGATACTTGCAGATGTGGTGCCAATCAAGTGGGCTGCTTGAATACGTGGATGGTATCAAGCTTCTTGAATGTTGTTGGGGCTGAACTCATCCAGGCAAGTGGGGAATTCCATCACACCCATGACTTATGCCTTGTAAATGGTGGTCAGGCTTTGGGATGTGAGGAAGTGAGTTACTCGCCACAGTATTCCTAGCTTCTGACCTGATCTTGTAGCCACTGTATTTATATGGCAAATCCAGTTGAGTTTCCAGTTAACGGTAACCCCAAGATGTTGATAGTGGGAGATTCAGTGATGGTAACACCATTGAATGTCAAGGGGTGGCATCGTCTCTTATTGGAGACAGTCACTGCCTGGTATTTGTGTGGCGCAAATGTTACTTGCCACTTGTCAATCCAAGCCTGGATATTATCCAGGTCTTGTTACATTTGAACATGGACTGCCTCAGTATCTGGCAAGTCACAAATACGCAGTGCTGAACATTGACTGCCGATGACTGCACAATCTGAACACACTTAAGCCAAGAGGTCTAAGACCACTTCTGGTAGGTAACTGTAGCTGTTGGTCATGTAACTTCAACTTTGCACTACAATGGCAAGGTAGCTCCAGCCTGATACAAAGTGATAGTTAAATCATACTTTCTGTTGAGAATTTTGGTAACTCACTTCCAAATCATTGTGCTGAAAACAGAATTGTTACTTGTGTTCTCCTAATGTTAATGAGCTGGGGAACAGTTGGCCATGTAATAAAACTCTGCAATGTTTGAGGTATAAATAGAACTCTAAGAGAGCATTTAACTGTCATTAACTTTACAAGTTAAATGGCTCCAACAAAAATTCAGCTGTTTTAAAGTGCAGTTACGTTCCACATCTTGCAGCATTAAGAAATTATGTTACCAATACAAAACATACAATACAAGTGAGGCAGGATTCAATCAGAGGTTCTGCATCAAAGGAGATCCCACATTTGCTGGAGGATAATTGCAACTAGTACAAAGTCAACCTTTTAAACCTGAAAGTTTATAAATCATTTCAGTAATTCATTGACTCATCATGAACAGAACATATGTTTGGTGATTGATTGCTGAGGATAGCAGAACTTGACACTGAAGATCAAACCAGTGCAAAACTGATAAATGTAATTTCTCATTAAAGTAATGACAATCAATATAGCTTGGCCTGTCCTGTCCAATTGTGAAGATCAGTCGATTGTGTTGCTTGTCGTACAAGTTCAGATATTTCAGCTACAGCTATAAAGACCAAGATACTGTTCTTTACTAATAATGTTGGAATCTGTCTGTTTATTCTCCATGATCCAACATTTTTCTTACCTTTTCAAATTCGAAGCCCAATTAGTTTTCTCTTATTAAAAAGAAATTTAGTTCTTTTGTCTGGGTATTAGATTAATTCTTCTTAAAGTAATGAGTTTCTAGCCTTTGCTCTGCATGTCTTGGTGCTGCCTCTTTCTCAGTCAATATCCTGTTTGTAATATTTGAACGTATGCTGCAATTACTAATTAAGCTTTGAGCCTGATAGAGCTAGACATTTGTCTTCCTCACATCCTCCTTTAACAACCTATTTATCACTGTTGCCATTTAGGTTGATGAGAGTAAAAAACGTGCACTTCCTTTCAAGGACATCACTTTAACTCTTATGTTGCCAGAATGCAAAATATTTAATTTGCAACTTAATTTGTACCAAGCTTCCCCAGTTGTAAATGAATACTCACTTCGTACGATGACAGTTGCGTAGATCTGGGATGGTGGTGAACACATAACTACTTGTTATCGTCCTTGAATCTGATATTGATGAATTCTTAAATTCAAAGAACAACAAAGAACAGAGAAAATTACAGCACAGGAACAGGTCCTTCGGCCCTCCAAGCCTGCGCCGATCCAGATCCTCTATCGAAACCTGTCACCTATTTTCCAAGGATCTGTATCCCTCTACTCCCTGCCCATTCATGTATCTGTCTAGATACATCGTAAATGACGCTATCGTGCCCACCTCTACCACCTCCGCTGGCAACGCGTTCCAGGCACCCACTGCGTAAAGAACTTTCCATGCATATCTCCCTTAAACTTTTCCCTTCTCACCTTGAAATCATGACCCCTAGTAATTGAGTCCCCCACTCTGGGAAAAAGCTTCTTGCTATCCACCCTGTCTATACCTCTCATGATTTTGTTGACCTCAATCAGGTCCCCCCCCCAACCTCCGTCTTTCTAATGTAAATAATCCTAATCTACTCAACTTCTCTTCATAGCTAGCGCCCTCCATACCAGGCAACATCCTGGTGAAGATATTGAGGGATAGGATCTATTTACATTTGGAAGAAAATGGGCTTATTAGTGATGGGCAGCATGGTTTTGTGCAGGGAAGGTCATGTCTTACCAACTTGATAGAAGTCTTTGAGGAAGTGACAAAGTTGATAGATGAAGGAAGGGCTGTAGATGTCATATACATGGACTTCAGTAAGGCGTTTGATAAGGTTCCCCATGGTAGGCTGATGTAGAAAGTGAAGTCGCATGGGGTCCAGGGTGTACTAGCTAGATGGATAGAGAACTGGCTGGGGCAACAGGAGACAGAGAGTTGTAGTGGAAGAGAGTTTCTCAAAATGGAGAACTGTGACCAGTGGTGTTCCACAGGGATCCGTGTTGGCCCCACTGTTATTTGTGATATACATAAATGATCTGGAGGAAGGTATAGATGGTCTGATTAGCAAGTTTGCAGATGACACTAAGATTGGTGGAGTAGCAGATAGTGTAGGGGACTGTCGGAGAATGCAGCAGAATATAGATAGATTGGAGAGTTGGGCGGAGAAATGGCAGATGGAGTTCAATTCAGGCAAATGCGAGGTGATGCATTTTGGAAGATCCAATTCAAGAGCGAACTGTACGGTAAATGGAAAAGCCCTGGGGGAAAATTGATGCACAGAGAGATCTGGGTGTTTCCGTCCATTGTACTCTGAAGGTGGCAACGCAGGTGGATAGAGTGGTCAAGACGGCATACGGCATGCTTTCATTCATCGGACGGGGTATTGAGTACAAGAGTTGGCAGGTCATGTTACAGTTGTATAGGACTTTGGTTCGACCACATTTGGAATAAATTCCTTAACTTTGTTCCGATCCTTATTGCCGAGAGTGGTAGCACTTCAATGAGTCTAGTCCACACACAGTAAATATGGATCCATTATCTAATACTGCACAATTCTGATTCTGTCAGCAACACATCAATCACTGATCTGAAACATCTTGTCACTAATACAGTGCACTCTCTTTGATCCCTATCTCCACGACCTTCCATTTCATTTTAGTTTCAAATACTCTGTAATGCCTTTGAGTCAGTAATCGTATACTTGTACTTTGAATCATACCTAAAACACGTATTGACTACACCATAGACATTCTGGAATTCATTATTTACTGGAAGTTTCACATTCCCTTTGCTTCTCAATCTTTTCAAAGTATTTCTGGAATTCATTTCTCTCGGTTAATTTCTTTTTTCATATTGTTGCCTGTAACTGGATTTCCAAACTGCCTTGTCAGTCTGTGAACGTAGGGTCCTCCATTTTTTGTTGTATCACGATTGCCCCATTTGCATCAGAAATGCTGCTGGAAAGGAATGCTCCCCACAAATGTTTTTTTTCAGTGCTTTTGAGATTTATTCCAGCAAGGTATATGTATCTGCAAAGCTATCTCATACCAAGAGTTCTGTCTAAAGTCAATATAGTCCAATGACTCACATGCCCCTCACAGATTTGGGAATTTCCAAATTGAATTCCTGCAGTCTTGCATACAATGTACTAAACTTTATTACGTACAGTTCTACGGATCGATTTCCCCTCTGAATTGTCCAAATTTCACCATGCCATATAAACAGTAAATAAATGTTTTGCTATCTTTTAGCCATGAAAGTTATCAATTTGTCCAAACCTTCATCTACATCCAAACTGTCAGTCTCCAATTGTGAATAAAATGTTGCTTCTTATTCTGATTTTGTGTGGCAGCAAAAGATTCAAAGGAGTAATACTGGTACACATGACTGCTTCATTCTTCCACAGCCACAAGATTCACATTCAGAAAAGAGGGATAGGTAATCATACCCGAATACTTCAATTTTTGATTCAACCATTCCACAGGAGTTTTCTTTGAATTACACTAAGGACAGATGCATGAGAAATCAACAGATTCTGCAATTCTCCCAAGTTGTAGATGACCCTGACCTGGAACAATATCACTCTTCTCTCACTATTCCAGGTCAAGATCCTGGAGCTCCTATCCTAACAGCATTGTGAGTGTCCTTACAACCCAAGGACAACAAGATTCAAGAAGGTAGCTCATCACCACCTTCTCAAGGGCAGTTAGGCAAGGGCAATTAAATGGTGGCTCAGGCAGAGACCCCACTTCCTATGAAGCTTCTTTTTTTAAAAGGTTTGGTTTTAAATCTCTAAACTACAAACAACTAACCATCCTCTTCGATAGATTCTAGATAGATACTAGAGGTTAATGCTTGGTTAGACAGAGTCCAGACATATTTGTTTCTAGTCAGAATTTAATTTCAACTCATAGATAACAAACTAACAAGCACTTGTTTCCCATCCAGTTCTCACCTATTATTCCTCAATTAACATATAACCGTCATCTGTTCCCTAATTCCATTTGGTATCAGGCACCTCTGTCAGACCCGACCAGATATTAGCATAATACACCCTCAGTACAATCAATCACAAAAGAAAAAGCTTGTTTGTATCTATTATGTCCTCTTAATGTTCCAAATTCCTAAACTATTAAGCTATTGACTTCTTATGAGCAAATATTGCAGCCAGTTTTCACCCTGGGCAAATTTCTACGTTCTTGGTAGATGTTAGTGTTGTAGCTGTACTGGAACAACATGGCTAAGGGTGCAGCACGTTCTGGAGCACAGGTCTTCAGTAGTGTTGCCGGAATATTGTCATAACTCATTGCCTTTGCAATTTCCATTGCCTCTAATTGTCCCTCGATGTCACGTGGAGTGAATCGAATTGACTGAAGACTGACATCTATGACGCCGAGGAGCTTTTGGAGGAGGCCAAGATGGATCATTCAATCGACACTTCTGGCTGAAGTTTGTTGCAAATGTTTGCAATGTTGTGCCCATCTCCTCAATCTTTGAGGATGGGAATATTTGTAGACCATCCTCCTCCAATGAGATGTCTCACAATCATTCACGACTGGATATGGCAGGACTGCAGAGCTTAGATCTTATCTGTTGGTAGTGGAATTGCTTAGCTCTGTCTATCACTTGCTGCTTATTCAGTTTGGAAGGCAAGTCGTCCCGTTTTGTAGCTTCATCAGGTTGACACTTCATTTTTGTATATGCCTGATGCTGCTCCTGGTATGACCTCCTATGCTTTTCACTGAACCAGGGTTGAGCATGACGGTGCAGATTCTGCTGGTGTATGACTTTGCTGTTGTTGATAGTCCACAGCATCTCATTTGATGCCCGTTCTTGAACTGCCAGATCTGTTCATAGTATATTCCATTTAGCACAATGATAGTACCACACAACATAATATGGTGCATCCTGCATGCTAACGTGGAACTTCATCTCCACAAAATTTTGTGGTGGTCACGTTTAACAATACTGTCATGTACGGATGAAACTGCAGCAGGCACCTTGGTAAGGATGAGGTAAAAAATATTTTTTTCTTCTTGCTGGCTCCCTCACCACCTGCAGCAAGCTAGCAGCAATGGTTTGTAGGAATTGGTCAGCTTAGTCAGTAGTAATACTACTGAGCCATTATTGGTGATGGACATTGAAGTCCCTCAACCAAGTACATTCTGTACCTTTTTCCATCCTCTATGCTTCTTTCAAATGGTGTTCAACATGGAAGAGTATTAATTCATTAGCCAAGGGCTGGGGAGAGCAGAAGGTTTCCTGGCCCATGACTGATCTGAAGCTATGAGAGATCATGAGGTCCAGAATCCACATTGAGGGTTCCAAGGGCAGGTATACCACTGTGCTGGAGGGACAGAACATATCCAAGGATGGTTATGGTACTTTCTAAGACATTTTCTGTAGAGTGTGCATGAGAATGATTATGTTGAGCTATTGCTTGACGAGTGTGCGAGGCAGCTCTCCCAATTTTGGAACTTATCCTCGTGTTTAAATGTGCCTCATTATCTTTATTAACTCTTTTAGCTTAATCACTTTGGGCCTTTTTAGTGCATTTCCACCTTCCCTTTACTGCACCATAAATAGCTGTCCCTTTATCTTTCTAAGCATTAATCTGCAATTTCCTCCCTGAACATATCCATCTTTTCTCCTCCCTCCCCTCCTTTAATACTTAGCTTAAAACCTCAAACCTTTGATCGCACTCTCAAAATATTTCTGTCCCACATCTTATTTTGTCAACTTAAAAAATGTGAATTGGAGTAATCTACGACATTAAGGCACTGTATTCATGTAAGATTTTGCTTTTATTTAAATATGTTGAAAAAGACAAAGTCTACCTGTTTTGCAATATTCTGTTTATTATATTTTTTACTTAATATTTCTAAGTGAAGAAAATTAACTATCATCTACTATCTCAGTGCCTCCATCATAAGAAGTTGAATTAATACTTAGTGCTGGTTAATAGTGGGCTGACTCATTATTGCAAGAGTTGCTGATTTGTTATTTCATCATCAAACCTCCTCCAGTGAAAACATGCTTTCGAGGGAATTAATCCAAAAGCAGTTTTATATATGTTACATTTCAAGAAGGATTGAAGACGGAGGTGGTCAACAACACCAGGAGCTTTATTATAGGAGATGTTGACTCAACAGACAGTAAGGTTAGACTGAGCTATTACCCGCCCATCATGACTGATGATGCTGTCATAATGTCACATGATTGAACTTTTAAAGTGAAAGTCCACCGTGCTTACCAAATGTACAATATATTTTGCTGAAAATGGACAATAATATTTTATCAATCATTAGGATAGATGTCACAATTAACTAAGGTTATTTAGTAAAAAGAGAATGTGCAATTGGTCGAACTTAAGTGAGTCTCTGATCCCTGAACTCATTAGCCTGGTAAATACAACATATCACGGGCAGGTTTCGAGCTGCATGGTCTTTAATTAATTTTATGTACTTTGCTGATTTGCAATTTTAAGTTTTTCATTCCTTTTGAAATGATTGCACTTCCTGTTTTTTAGTCTGTGCATTACTTACTGATAATGACAATCTTGGAATCTTCAATTCTTCTTGTTTATTAATCCTTTGTCTCCACTAATTCCATTTCTTGATGAAAGTACTTTCCCTGTTTATTGCCTTCTAAAGAATGAGCAGGAACCATATTTAATATGTCCGTTTTTTCTTGTTGCACAGCTTGGGCTTTACACTTTATTCAGAAAAACAGCAGTGGTAAGTTTTGAAATTACATCCTATCCAAATCAGTCCTAATGTGTTACATTTTAAGTTACTTGAAGTGTTTGCAGCAATCAAACTGTTGAGTAGAAAAGTAAAACAACGGTATGGCAAGAACACAAGGTACTCACGTGAATCCTGTGAGATCCTTTTAGCATATTCAATTTGCAAACGGTGAACAGTTAGAATAAAGATCAAAGCAAGAGATTTGTAAGACTGTGCAAAGAAATTCAGTGATTAGTTCATCAGACCAAGCAAGTCATTACATCAAAAGGATTTTTTTTAATGACACGAACTATGTTATGAAAATGGAAGGTGTTTTGATAAGAACTGAAATCATGTATTTTGAGACAACAACACCAGATTGCAGTAAAATAAATTTGACAGTTCAGAAATAATGCTTTTTACTAGGCAGTATTTCTACTGTGTAAAAGTTGTCAGGATTATGTACAACATGTTTGAGAATATTTTGATGTCAAGAAATCAGAAACAGGAGATTGCAATGTTAAAGCTGTTATTAACCATAAAGGGAGAGGATGGAAGGGATGTTTTTCATCAAGTTATTGAGAAATTGAATGGTTTCCAACTATTTAGGCTTTGAAGCCCAGTCAGCCGAAACATTTTGGGTATACATAATGTTTGAGCAAAAATATTGAAGCTTATTGAAAGGCAAAAAATGGTAGACTTGTTAGATAATTGTTTTATAGTCTGACTAATTAAAGACGAACAAGTACCAGTGATCTGAGGAAAATCAAAAAAATAAATCAAAGGACGAGTTAATTAGATTTTAATGGTAAAAATAATGAGACTGACAACAGAAATCTCCAGGATCTTATAATTTCTATCCCAGGATATTAGAATAAATCAGTGAGAAAATTTTAAAAAGTTTTAATCATGATGATTCAAAATTCTCTAGATTCTGTAATTCTTTCCTTGGCTTTAAAACTTGGATGTATCACTTGATTATTTAGGAAGGAAAGAGAACCAAGAAATTTTATGCATATTAATCTAACATCAGTTTTAGGGAGGTTACTGAAACTGTCATGAGTAATGTCCAGTTAACCCAATTGAAATTACTAAGGCTTCACACACAAGACTAAGAGGGCAAATGGAAGCACATGGAATTGGTGACAACATTTTGACATGTTTCATGAATTTTTTCAGAGGTACACTACTATGTAGGGATAACATGCCTGTATTCCAATTTACAAGAAACAACTAGTGGTGGCCCAGCAATCTGTACTGGGGCCACAAATTTTCATTTTATTCGTAGAATGTATCTTCAAGATTGCTGATGCCACTAAGTAATGTAGATGAGAGCAGAAAGTTGCAAATGGGCACTGTTATATAGAAATGAGTGAGGTAAACTGTGGCAAATCAAGCTTCTCATGGGGGAATGTAAAGATAATTATAATGGACCTAAAGAAGATTAAATCAGTATTTTCCAACAGGTGAAAAGGTAGGAACCAGGGAGTCGAGAGCTTTAGTTAGAGGCACATTTACAGGAATCACTTCTAGAAAAACATAATGGGCATTTTTTTTTAAGAAATGTAAAAAGCCTAACAATTTTAGCCCTTATCTTAAGAGATCAGGAATAGAGTGGTGGTAATTAAAAGATCTGGTTAGTCTATATTTGGGCTGTTTTATTTGGTTAAGCACATCACACCTCAAAAAGGATATATTGTCACAGGAGAGGCTGTAATTCACCTTAATAATATGAAGCTAAAATTATTACTTTTATGAAGGTAATTGCAGAGCCTAGGCTTCTGTTTACTCAAGTGTGGGGGCTTAAGTGACAATGCAATTGAACTGGTAAAGATCATTAATGAATTTGCTACGGTAGATGTTGAACAAATATTTCCTCAATGGAGGAGTCCAGATCAAGAGGACATAACCTTAGAATTACAGATAGGAATCTTATGGTGCAGTGGTAGTGTCCCTACCTCTGAACCTGATGATCTGGATTCAAGCTCCATCTCCCTCAGAGGTGTATCATAGAGTCAGAGAGATGTACAGCACTGGAAAAGGATCATCACATCAGTCAAAAACAACCACCTAACTAATCCCATTCCTCAGCATCCGAACAGATTGGTCAAAAATAATCAAAGTGAGGGCTAGGTCCTTCAGGGGTGATGTCAGAAGGAATTATTTAACACAAGATTCATGGAATTCTGCAATGCTCTCTTCAAAAACCTGCTGAGGCTAGGCCTTTTGAAAATTTCAAAACTAGCATTGCTGGCTTTTTGTTTAGCAAGGGTATTAAAATTAAGATTCAGCTTAAATGGCAAAACAAGCTGAATGAGTTAGTCATGCCTCTAAATTGCCTTATCACAAGGCAAACTTCAGAAAAATGGTGATGAGTGGCACAGTGATAGTGTCCCTACCTCTGGATACCATTGAAGGCACCAATTTAGGGTAAGTAGTTCCCAACGTTAAAATAGCAGGTAAAATAGGACAAATAGATTCTTTTTGTACTGATTTCTCTTTTATGATAATTTCTAGATAAACATTGTAATTGAAGACATTATTCTAATTTGTAAAATATGTATTGACAGGTATTTGTGCTGTGATAAGGAAGACGCATATATGGAATGGTTAGTTAGTTTGCTCAATGCACAGGTAGGAAGTCCTATTTAATCCTGCTAACATTTCTGAATTATTTACCAATATATTATTTTTACTTTAGCATTATCAAATTTTTGTACAACTTGCACATACACTGATATGAAAATGAAGCCTTATTAATATTGTTTATTACTAGTGTAGGAACAAAATTCAGCATCATAGCTCCAATAGTTCATTATGTAAGTAACTTTTAGAAAAACCTGTTAAAGCAAAATTTGTAAATATTGTCAATCTTACACATGATGTGTTGAAATTATTAATAGCAAGTCAGGAAAGCATGGCACCTGTTCTTGCTTCAGAGTTATATTATTTATCGTGAAGACAGTGTAAATTTTTAATAATCATTACTTTTGCTTGAATGATAATGTAGGTTTTCGACAAAATATTATTCCCCAGAATGAGCCCTGGAATTAATAAATTGGTGAAGATGCATGTGTTCTTTTCGTCTTTTAGAGCTTTGTTTCAGTAAACAAAAGCATAATATCTTTTCAATTATGGACTCATGGAGCAATCAGTCTTAGAAAAAGAATTTCCAAGAAAAATATGAAACTTCCTGGTGTTTTTGGTTTTAAATCTTCCATCATTTTCTAAACTGTGACCTTAAGTTGATTGTATATTCTATAGTTTCTATAGAAATAGGCACTAGATCATGAGAAGATCTGTCAAAAATGACGAAGGGTTTTACTGCAGCTAGACAATTTCTGAGATTATAGATAAAGTTTGAAGGAGGATTTTTTTTTAAAAATGGTTCTGGCCTTATTGACAAGTTAATAGAGCAATTGCAAACTTGTTCCTACAAATTGAATATAATACTAGAGGCACATGTATTCTTTTAGTTTGTCTCTAAAACAGTCTGAAATGAAGCAAGGGACAACAGACTAAGGTTGTGAAGATCATGTATAAAGAGTTATAGAGAGATATAACAGCATGGTAAAAGAGTAAGATGCTAAGTCTTTGAAGAAAGGTTGGGAGATGTGGCCAAAAGCTTGGAAAGTGGTAGATTTTGAGAAGGCTTTTAACACTTTGGAAGAAAGTAAAGAATTTAAGAGGCCCAAGTAAAGAGAGCATTAGAAGAAATCAAAGATGATTTTACCAGCAGTAACACTGGGATAAGGAATGTTGTGGAGACGGACCTAATGTGTCTATTTCGAGGATTAGATTTGCAATTTGATGCTCAGATCTAGGACAGACCAGTCCTGACATTTGTGTTCAACATGATTCAGCCTTTGCTTGAGGCCAGGGCAGGGAAAATATAATTAATAGCAAGAGTTCAGAATTGTTGGTAGGCAGCATTGAATTTAGTCCTTCAAATATTTAATGTAGGGAGTTCTGGTTTGTCCAGACTTCATTATCAGGTAGGTAGTTATCCTTGAAGCATAGAATGGTCACGCAATGTAGGGAAATGCCAGAGAAGATAAGTTGTGTGGTATTACTATTTATAAGAAATCTAACACTCTCTACTGATATTGTTACCAAAGGGAAGCGTATAGATGAGGGGAAATTGATCAATCTTTCGGGAAATTCTGGAACTGAATGGAATCTGGATGAGAAGATATGGTTTTGTGACAGGTCAATTTCACTGACATAGACCAAGCGGTTGGACAATGATGCTCTAACTAACCATATTCAATGGTAGCGATGTCAAAAATTAACAGGAATTATCACAGAGAATATGCACTGATTGTTTTGACCAGGAGATTCAGTACTGTGAGTCAGGTGAAAAATGAATTGCACAGGGAATTGACATGCACATGAATTTTTTGCACATCATTTCAAAAGAATGACTGGATAGCTCCACCTTTAAATGGAATTTTATACAGTGACTAAAAACTGGTATGTATGTATTTTTCATATCACCACAATGAAAAATGAAAGTCTTAAATGCTGATAATGTATTGTGTAATGCTTTAATAACTAACAATTTTTGAAAAAATAAGTGAGATACCAGACATTTTGCATAAGCCTGTATTGTGGAGAATGCAAGAAACTAAACAGGAATAGCTAGAAAACGGGGAATGTTCTTCTAAGCATGTTAGAAGCAGTTCGGAGAAGGTTTACTAAACTAATATGGGATGGGTTATCTTATGAAGAAACGTTAAGCAGGCTAGGCTTCAATCTACTGGAGTTCAGAAGGGTAAAAGGCGACTTGATTGGAATATTTCAGAATCTGAGGGGGGAATGTGGAAAGGATGGTTTCTTGTGGGAGATTCCAGAATTAGATGTCACTTTTTTTTTTTAAAAAGGGTTGGCCATTTAGGACAGAAATGAAGAGAATTTATTTCCCTCAGAGTCTTTGGATCTCTGTTCCTCAAAAGGTGGGAAAGGCAGAGTTAGATAGATTCCTGATTAAACAATGTGGTGGAAGTTTATCAGGGGTAGGTAGGAATCTGAAGTAATTGGATTAGCCATGATCTTTTTGAATAGTGGAGCTTTACAGAACTGTATTAGAATGGCTCGAGAGTCTGGATGGTTGCCTTCTGCTCCTAATTTGTATGTTCATATAATAATGAAAAATGAGCTCACTGAAGGAATGTCATGTTCATTTTACATCTGCAAAAACTTGTTCTCCACAATCTGTTGCAAGGAAATTACATTTGTCATGCACATGCTCTGATTTTGATCTGAAATAAACAGGCATTGGTTTTTAGCTCCTGACTCCTATCCTACTAAGATAGAAAAATTCTTAGTGGAATTGTCTTTTAGTGATGGCAAAATGTGCTTTCTTCCTTCAGCATGAAGGTGACCTTTGGCGACTAGATGCAAAGTTGCATGTTTCATCAGCGATATTGAATGCAAAACTCAGCAACATGGGTTTAACGCCAGGTCAGAAAAAGATTGATGGCAGAAAAATGGAACAAGCACATGTAAGTTGTTTGCCATAGTTGATTCCACTTGTCAGTGTTCACAAACAGCTACAGTTATATTACTGTTTTGTATTAATACAAAGTTATCTTGCATGTGCATGGTGTGGAAATGTAGCATTGTATCTCAGGAATTAGTCCTGACCTGAATTCACATCCAGTACGAATATCAATGCAAGGCACCTCTTATGACTGGAGTTTCATTCCCACTGTGACATAGTATGAATTGCTGACCTTTGGTCATGTATAATGTTCAGATGGCCCACTGTTTTTCTGGGTATTTCCAATGTTTTCTTTTGTTTAAATAGTACATTTGTACATTAAGTGAGAAAAAAGATTTATATGCATTTTTCTTGTATATTGGTGCATAAACATGTTTCTCAACGCTGTTTTGTACCACAAGGCCAATCTTGAATGTTGCATCAGATGCAGATTAATGATGTTTCAAATGTTAGCAAATTGGTTTAGGATGTATTGAGGTGGCCTGGTCAAGGAGCACTGAAGTTCTTTACATTTCCATATTCCGGTAAGTTTATTTTATAACATGCCTTATTGGTTACGGATCAACAAACTGTCTCATTAAGGACTGTCTGGTAGATGTAATGAAGGCCTATTTTACAGAATGCTGCCGGCACTGGTGCAAGCTAATTTTAATCTGTGCACAATGTCCCTTATTTGCATAATGAAAGGGACTAGTACTGTTTCAAGAGTGAGTACTACACTATAACTTGTAATGAGCAATGATTCTTATTCACCATAGAGACTTAGAAGGCTATTTGGCACTTGAGAAGCAGGCATTGTGTTTGGATTTCTAGATCAAAATATCTTTTTGGGTCAGGCAGTCAGAATAAGTGCAGCTCCTGGCTGACCTCTGCAATCACATCCAAATCAAAGAAAATTCTAGTCTGGCTTGTGATTAATCTTATTGGTCATAATGCAATTGATCTTAAAATATTCAGCGTTTTCATCTGCTGCCCTTTAAAGAAAAACACATTCGCACTGCAGCAAAAGTTAATATTTTGCCCACATTAATATCTCATTCTTGAGTAATATGTTCCATGCTTGTGAAAATAGAACATGTTCTATGAGTAATGCTACATGAGATCAACTAATCTAAATATTTACAGTACTGATTAAGCACTATTTTGATGCTATACATTTTAAGCTGGGCACCAATTCATTGACATTTAAAACATCATTAATCTGTAGCTAATGCAAAATTCATGAAGGTCTTGCGATACAAAGCAGCATTGAGAAACAATTTAATGCACCAATATATGTAGTAAATGAAGAGAAAACATCTTTCTCACCTGACGTACAAATGTGCATTTTATAAAAATAAAAAAGGTAGAAAATATCAAGAAAAGCTAATGCACCATCTTAACATTATACATCACCCATTTCACAATGACCAGGGATCCATACTTTGCCACAGTGAGAATGAAACTCTTATGGTGTGTGATGTTTGTATTGATGTTTCTACTCGGTGTGGGATTCAGGTCAAGAACAAATTCCTGAGATATAATGTTACCTTTGTATACCATGTGCACGCAAGATCACTTTGCATCAATAGGAAGTAGCTGTATAACTTCAACCATTTGTGAATTTCTAGGCCTAATGTTACTGATGAGATTTTTCTGTTGATTGTAAATGAACAGAGTTCTTTGTCCTTTTTCCATACTTTACTGTGACACAAAGTTTTCATATAGCAAATTATTGTGTCCCACACATAAAGCATGTTAGACACACCAACGCAATTTCTACAGAAAACTCAGGTGAGCATTGTAAGGTGCTGTTTATAAGTGAAATTTTTGAAACTCATCCTCACCATTTTACAGAGATCATTAGAAAGAGAGTGATATAAGAGATGGGATAGTGGTTATGTTGCAAGAAGTCATTCAATCCAGCATCCCTGGCATAAACTGAACAAGAAACCTATGCAATTAATGAGCTTAATCAGGATAAAAACTTAATGACGGTATTACACTTGTATGCTCTTTGCATTATAAATTGGTTTTGACCTGTATTGCATTCCATACTTGTTTAAAATGTTTTAAAGGGGATTGTTGTTTCTGAAAAGTCAAAATGCTGTTTTAAGGACACGAGAGCAAATCTTAATTGTCAAAGCAAAGGCATCCTTCAGAAGGAATAGAACTCCAGAACAGCAGGGATCTACCTTCAGGAGTCAAACTAAATGCTGCTTCAGAAGTAATCTATTGTAAGTAGACCACTGAGATTAAGGCAGTTTGTGTGGTGTGAAAATCAGTGGACATCAAAGAGTAATAAGCATGTGTTGATGTATAAAACTACCTGATAAGTATCAGACATATTCCAAGGAACAGCATTTGGGGAACAGTGCTCCTGAATGCATCGCTCTCTACAAAAGGAAATTGATGTTCTTAAAAATAAATGATGCAGATGAACATTTTGTTTACAGAACTGTAGTGCTATTGCAGCAGGTGTACATGTACCATTCAGCTATTGTGTGAAGAATCCATTATGTCAGATTCAAATGGGGAAAGCAACATTTCAGGTTTAATGAAGTAAAGTGGCTAGAAAATTGATGGTGTAAATATATAAACCAACAGATTTTTGTCCACTGTTATACTTCAAACATTGGAAAATAATAACTGGAAATGATTTGTTGGTGCTCTTGAGATGACAGGACTTTCTCAGGTTCAGAGAATCTTATCACAGTGAATGTATTGGAGCTGATGAAGTGATTTGAAGTGCATATGCTTTTGTAGAGCTTTACAGTTGAAAAATAAGTGAATTATTTAGTAATACAGCACCATCCAACAAACTAAACAAAGATAAAACATTCAGGGGTGATAATGAATAAATTAACATTGAAGGCCTGGGCCATAAGTCAGAGCAGCTCTGACAATAGGTTCATATTAGTACATCATCAATTACTTTATTTACTGCACAAATGCTGACTGGTTTGCTGAGTGCTTCCAGCAGTTTACATTTTTGTTTCAGATTTGTAGCACCAGGAAGAAGAAACCAGACAATGTGTTGATTACCTAAGATGATGTATGGTGGGCGAAGACACATGTGCTAAGTCTCTTCATTTATTCTTGGCTGAGAGCCCAGACATCTATTAGACTGTTACAACAGCTAAGCACTTGGGAAAGCATTGCTTGATTAATAGCACTCTGATCCTTTTATTTCAGTTGCATATTGTTACTTATACTGGACTGAGGCCTCAAGTGCTTGCAGTTTCTGCTGTTCATAATTTAAATGATATAGTTAATTGACACTACTTTTGGCCTGTAGTAAAAAAGGAGCTTTTCTTTTAAAGAAAGTGGAAAGTTATCAATTAATAACTTTTAAAAGTGCCTTTACACATCTGATTGTCGCTATAGTGTTCAATTGCTCTATACAGTATCTGGATGAATGGGTGTAGAAGTGCAATATTTGGCATTGAAGATATGACGGGACAAGTAAGGTAGGTGGGGCATAGCTTTGCATGTGGAGTATGGTGAGCCATGGGTTGGGGCACTTATTTTGGCATGAAAGGTATAAATGAGCATGGGGAGCCGTAGCTTGGAATGAGGATATGGATAAGTCTTTTTGAACTTGCCCGTCAACAGTTTCCTTCATGCCTGTCTCTCTGTGGATACCTTCTTGCATCACCATCAGAACAGTCAACACTCAAAGTCATCCTCATCTTAGTGTCATGTCATGCTTTGGCCTCAAAATTACCTTCCTCAAGTATTGTCTCTCCATCCTCTATACACAGTCCATTTCTCAAATTTAAAGGCCACTGCTAACTTTTTTTGAAGGGCAGCCCTCCTGTCAGTGAGAACCACTCCCACTGCTTACCAAGATGGTTATTGTTCTTGATGCTATTGTTGCCACAGCAGGTTCTCTTTAAAACCGCACGATAGAGTGGCTTAACATGCTGCCGTGATGCAGGCTAGGCCAACAGCAGTGAAGCTCAGATCGAGGTGAGGACAGGATAACATGAGTAAGCTCCAAAAAGTTGGAAATTACCTCTTATAAAAAGAAAAACACACTCCCAAAACATGTCCTGGGAGTAAAAGCTTTTCATCCAGGTGAAGAAGCAGCTGTCCTGGTTCCATATTTAAAGGCTTTTCTGTCAATTTTATAGGACTATCTACATGGGCTGTGCTCTCACTGCCTTCTCCCTGTTGAGTTTTACACATCATGGGAAGCCTGTGGATTGACTCTTAAAACCAGAATCCTGGGTTAAATATTCATTCTATTTCCTGTTAATCTAGTAAAGCGTAGACATACAAATTGCTATCAAGAAGCTACTGATTAGCTAGTTACTACCAGTTGCTAGCTATTACAGCCACAGGATTTCTAATGCATCTCAAAACATGCACCAGTTAAAAGGAGAAGTGAACAGCATCGGTGTTGAAGTTCTGACATGCTAACAATTTTTTGCTGATTTAACTTGCTACTTGCCCTGGCACCCAACCCCTTCCAAGTTAAAAATTCTTCTCATAAAGGGTGATTGCTAGGAAGTGATGCAAAACTTTTGTAAAACACTGGAATGGATTCAGCCTAAATTTGTACTCAGTTCTGACCCTGACACTTCAGGAAGAATGTCATGCCCTTGATGCAGTGGCGATTTACTCAAATGGTACCGGGGACTAGGAGCTCCAGTTATATGGGCACACTGGAAAAATTGGAATTGTCATCTTCGAGGCAGAGGATTTTCAGAGTAGGTTTGACAGCGGTGTTGAAATTCATGAACTTTTCTTTGTGACTCTTTCTCAAATAACTCTTCTGGGGCCTGCACCCTGTCACCAGTCACCCTTTATTTACAAATGCATAGCCTTTGACAACAGCACTGCCTCTCACTGAGTCCAGCATTTAGGGTCCCAGTATCCCTGACATTCATCCTTCTATGTCAGCCAGGGCTCCCTGATTGAACCAGGTTATCAGTCCCCATCAGGGAACTCATATTTTATGATGTCCAGTTGGCTGACACCATTACAATCACTTCAGTTTCCAACAGCAAGCAGATCAGGATTTAGCCAACAGATGTCAGGTGATTAGCAAAATAACCAGAAAAACTTTGTTTTTAACACAGTGAGTCGTTATGATCTGGAATTTACTGCATGAATGGGTGGTAGAAGCAGGTACAGTTATAGCATTCAAAACAGAATTGCATAAACACTTGAAGGGAAAGAAGTTGCACAACTGTGGGGAAGAGCAGGAGCCTGTCATTAATATATGTTGATAAAATGAATGCTTAGTGTGTTGCTATATCCTACTTTTAGCAGAAAGCAACATCACCGTTTCTTTAAGTTGGAGAAGTTGTGTTGGAGCTGGCGTATCAAATTTCCTCCTTTCAGCATTTAATTTCTTATTACAGGACTGCAGGAAGCTGAAGCTGAAGGATGCCCTTCATCAAACATTTGGTGAGGATGCACAGGGGAGATCTCATCACTTGGCTGCCTGCCAACACCACTCAGAGGTTCTGCCTGCAAATGGACAGGAGCCAAATCGACCCACTTTACATCCAGGTCAAAGCAATGTAACACAAAACATCACAAAATTAGAACGTAATCAAGGACCACAGTATTCAGGTCAAGCAGAAGGCACCCTTAATAAAATGATTTTTGGAACTGATGCAAAACTGCATTCACAACTCATGCAGGAGCTGAACACTGTCTTTCTACAAAGTAATCCATTGGTTAAGAATGAGTAAAGTATGTCTTCATCTCTTAAAATATATAGACAGCTTCATCATCTTTAGTGAACACCATGCATCATAAAATGAAGATATTTTGCTTCATAAGAATTCACAATTAAGAGGCTATTTCCATTCGGCTATTTACATCATTCCATTTTTAATTTATCTTATTAAACAACAGCTTGGATCCATTCAAATTGTCTGATTTTAGAAACTACATTGATCCATATTAAATACTCAAAAGTAAAATCCTGACATACCCATGCAATACTTTATAGGACCATCCTTGAGGCTTGTCTTGCATCAAAGTTGAATTACATGGTGCTTATGACTAAATTGGGTGTGGCTGGTCAGGCCATTTGGGAAGAATTGTTGCTATGCAGCCTGCATATTAAGTGCAGATGGTCATAGCCAATGAACAACCGTTAGTTTGCTTGGAATTGTCATTGTTGATAATTGACTGTGATGTTTATCTTCTTTATCAGATTAACATCGGACTAGAAAGGTTATCTCCCTCTTGTCAAACCACATATTTCAATCAAGTTCCTATAAAGGAATATTTTAGATTTAATTAGACCCACAGTGACATAATCCTCAAGTATCCATTTTCAAGACACGATATGTATTTCTTAGAAAACAGTTAAGCATGCAGAGATGTGTAACCAAGTGACTGGTCTCCAAAACCATCCAATTCGCTGATAGCATGTCAGTTTGACATTTATATACAAAGGAAGATGAAATGAAGTACAGAAAAGGGAATTTTATACTTTCATAAAATTGGCATTTATGATTTGCTTTTCAATTGATGCATTCACAGTCATTGATAAGCTTGTATATTTTTAACTTCCCAAAGTATTGGCAGTGTTAGAAACTATAGCATACTAAATCCGCCAGTGATTTGGACAGTCTACAGGCTGATGTGACAAAGATTTGCTGTAGTATTCTCTTATTTTTAAAAATTGTTTTTTTTTTGTACTCTGCCTAAAGACAAGCCACTTGGTTTGTGGTCTACTTTAACTTCATCCTGAGCTGTTTCTCTGTCAGGTTTTGTTAATGACAGTTTGTCATTGCCTTGCACCCTCTGAAGCAAGGTGAGGAGGTGAGTTCCAGGTCTACCTCAGCTAGAGTGGGAATTGAACCTACGCTGTTGGTGTTATTCTGAACCACACATTGGCAATCTAGCCAATTGTGATAACTGGCTCCTTAGCTCATCAAATTCACAACATTTTGAAGAGAAATGCAATCTGCTATTCAAGCAAATTGGCAGCACCATAGATGCTGCCTGATCTTTGCCTTCAACCTGAAGAGTGCTTGCTTCTATAGCTCTCTCATTTGCAATTGATCTAATCACTATAGAAGTTACTAGATTTAGTCAATTAAGATGGAAAGAGTTGTATTTACATCACATCTTTTGTGACTGCAGGTCACCCCAAAGTGCCAATGAAGTGCTATTAAAGTGTACTTGCTGTTTGCCTAATTTCCCACATTACAACAGTAAGTCTGAAATCCAAATACTTGTTGGTGACTATTATATCTTCATATATAAAAATTTTGCTGTTTTTACCACTAACAAAAAATATTATTCATAGAATGGTAAACTATTCTGAAATAATAACAATTGGTTTTATACTGATCTGTCGAATAAAATGCACATAAATAGCTATTGAATATTATCTTTGAAGGCCCGAGGTAAAAAAAATGTAAAAATCTCCTTTGCTTCAACCAGATCCTACAAGAAATGATATGGTTAGTTGGAATTTAGTTCCTTCTGTTACAAGCAACATTGTCCAGAATTCATTGGGCTACCCAGCTGAGAATCCGAAAGTGGCATGTTGGAAGGCATTCTTCAGAGGATTGAGTTAAGGTGTGCTTTTGGGCACAGTTTTAGAAAGGGTCTCAGTGTGCAGTTAGACTGCCTAATATCTGACTTGGGATTGGTTAAAATCCCTCTCTAACTGAGCCCATGAAAATTCAGTAAAATCTGAAAGTTTCCATCAAACAATAATTTTAATATGTATTTATATGTGCTTTCCTGGAATCAGCCACAAAATCAACACCTGTCTAGTTGAAATGATTCCAATGATGAAAAGCTACAGTTGATGCACATTTGGGATTTTTAAAGATTTTGTATGCTTCATATATTAGGTGCCTCAAAATATTTCAAAAGCCCTTTATGCTCAATGAATAGCAACCAGTGACTGTGCATATAAGGCAATCACTTTATGTGTACCAAAATGGCACAATCAATGACCAGATGAATAACTCATTAATCTTTGTTTCATCTTGGTATTGTTAGTTGAAGGATGGATGTTAGCTAGGTTACCAGGAAATTATCTGTTCATCTTCCAACAGTACCATTCGATCCTCGGTATCTACTAAGTTATTGGGAAGAGTAATGATCAGGGCCTTTTCTAAAAAAAAAGTCACGCACAGGATATGGGTGCCACTGGCTGAGCCAGAATTTATTGCCCACTTCCAGTTGACCTGAAGAAGGTGATGGTGAGCTGTTTTTTGAAATCCGCATTCTACCTGGTCTTGGTACATTCACAATGTCGTCAGATATGGAGTTTGAGGATTTTGACCCTGCAATACTGAAGGAAAGTTTATATATTTCCAAGCCCAGATGTCAAGTGGCTTGGAGAGGAACTTGCAGGTGGTAGTATTTCCATGTACCTGCTACCCTCATACTTCCAGATGGAAGTAATTGAGGAGTTGGAAGGTGCTGTCTAAGGAGCCTTAGTGAATTTTTGCAGTGCATCTTGTTGATAGTACACACTGCTGTTACTTTGCATCAGTGGTAAAGAGACTGAATGTTTGTGGTTGTGGTGTCTGTCAAGCGGGCTGCTTTGTCCTGGATGGTGTCACCCTTTTTGAATGTTGTTGGAGCTGAACTTATCCAGGCAATTAGGGAGTATTTCATCATACTCCTGACTTGTGCCTAGATGGTGGACAGGCTTTGTGGAGTCAGGATTTGAGTTGCTTGTATTCGTAGCCTCTGACTTGCTATGATAGTCACAGCATTTATACGGCTAGTGCAGTTCAGTTTCTGGTCATTTGTAACTCTCCTTGATGTTGACAGTGTGTACTTCAGTGATGGTAATACAATTGAGTGTCATAGGGTAATGGTTAAATTCTCTTATGGGAAATGACCGTTGCCTGGAATTTGGGTGGTGTGAGTGCTATGTGCCATTTGTCAGCCCAAGCCTAGATTTTGTCCAGATCTTGTTGCATTTGGGCATGGACTGCTTCAATATCTGCGGAGTCACGAATGGTGCTGAACATTAGTTCTGATAATATGATGGGAGCAAGGTGATTGATAAAGCAGTTTAAGATGATTGGGCCTAGGACTGTACCCTGAGGAACTCCTGCAGAGATGCCCTGAAGCTGAGGTGACTGACCTCCAACAACAAAACCATTTTCGTAAGTAACAGGTATGACTTGAATCAGTGGAGAGTTTGCCCCCAATACCAATTGATTCCAGTTTTGCTAGGGCTCCTTGATGCCATACTCGGTCGAATGCGACCATGATATCAAGGTCGGGAGCTGAGTGGTCCTGGCAGAATCCAAACTGGGCATCCCAGAGCAGGTGCTGTTTGATAGCACTGTTGATGACACCGTCCATTGCTTTACTAATGATCGAGAATAGACTGATGGGAGGGTAATTGGGTTTCACTTGGCTTTTTATGTACAAGATATATCTGGGAAATTTTCTATGCAGTCTGATAGACACCACTGTTGTAACTTGGCAAAGGGCACAGCAAGTTCTGGATCAATACTACTGCCAGAAAGTTTTCATTTCTTGATAACGTGGAGTGAAGTGAATTGGATGAAGATCAGCATCTGTGACACTGGGGAGGCCACAATGAATCATCTACTGAGCACTTCTGGCTGGAGCTGACTCTGAATCTTTTGCTATAACATGTACTGAGAATGGGGATGGCTGTGGAGCCTCCTCCTCTTCCAGTGAGTTGTTTGATTGTCCTTCACCATTTATGACTAGATATGGTGGAACTGCAGATCTTAGATCTGATCTGCCAGTTGTGGAATCACTTAGCTCTGCCTATCAGCTGCTGGTTTTGCTGTTTGAAATGGAAGTAGTCCTGTTTTGTATCTTTACCTGGTTAATACCACATTTTTAGGTATGCCTGGTGCTGTTCCTGCCATGCCCTCTTGCATTGAGGCATTGAGCCATTGATCTCTTGGTTTGATCTTAAAGGTAAAGTAGGGGATGTGCTGGGCATTGAGGTTGCAAATCGTGTTGGAGTGCAATTCTGCTGCTGTTGATGACTCTCAGAACCTCATGGATGCCCAGTCTTAAGGTAGCAGATTTATTCAAAGTCTATCCCATTTAGCATTGTGGTATTGGCACACAATATGAGATGTTTTTCTCAATGTGAAAGCAGGACTTGGTCTCCACAAGGACAGTGCAGTGGTCATTCTCCCGATACTGTCATGGACAGATGCTCCTGGGATAGGCAGATTGGTAAGAATGAGATCAGTTATGCTTTCCCCTCTTGTTAACAGCTTTTTCAAAGAATGGCACTTTTAAAACTGTTGTGTATTGTCAAGCATTGTCACGATCGATTATGTCAAAGTCCTAGAAGTGTAACAAAAGCCTGTGGTTTTCTAGGAGTGATTCTTGTCTGTCTTCAACACATAAAGATTATATGTTTAATGTTTGAGCCCCAGGATTGATCAGCTGAAATGTGCACATTTTCCCCAAAATTTGTACATATTGTTCTGTCGTCTATCCCTGGAGTTTTTTTTTCCCAAATCCATTTTCATTGCTGCAGCGTGAATGTTCTTCCATTGGAAGGACCTGCTTCATGAAACTCAATTTTTACCACAGATGCACCATTGACACTGGGAATTTAGTATATAGACAGTTTCTCCCTGTTTCACTTGAAAAAATTATTGTTAATTTGTACTTGAAACTCCAGTGTTCAGTCATTAAAAGCAACCACAACAGATGTCAGCAGCTATGAGGTGATTTTTGCAATTATTACATACTGTCATCTCAGTTTTCATGACTTTTCTTAGGCATGAGTTGGATTCTACCCAGGTTCTTCTCAAACATGATTCTTGGATGATCTTTTTCAGTTATTTTACACCATTTTGTGTATTTAAATCTGTACAGATGTAAGATGGAGTTGGTTCATTGTTGCATCAGTGTAGAGGATGGTACAGTTTGATCCTTAATATGCTAAATTATGACAGCACCTTGTGAAAACTTTGCTACGTCACTGTGCTTGTAGGGTACTATAGAGCTGACAGATCAAAATCATTTGAGATTTGTAATACAGATGCTCTGTGATAAAAATGTAGCATGGTCTGAAGTGTTTTCACAATACCTCCTGTGGTTTCGCCCCTTAGCTGAAAGAGAAAGAAACCTCGAGTTCAGCAGTTTCTATTCTGGCTGATCAACACTGACAGTTGAAGACAGTTGAAGACAAAGTCATGAATTGCATGTATAGTAATCAGTTATTGCTTGGACCGAGAGAGAAAAAGAGGCAGTTAGGCATTTCAATCTTATGAATTTAACATTATGCTGTAAATAATGCAACAGCCCAGACAAGCAGAAGTTGAACCGCCTTTCAGAATTTCAAATTGACTGTTACCAAAGTCCTGATTGGTATGAGGTTATTGATTTGCTCGCCAAGCTGGCTGGTTATAGTTCAAACTATATGAACTATATATTACAAGCCAGCTCGGCGAGCAAATCAACAACCTCACCCACAACCTGAGCTACAAATCTTTGCAAGAACCTTAAACTCCTGATTGGTATCATTGAATGCAACGTTTGGCAGCATGAATTTCAATTCTATTCAGATCATAGTTTTATATATCTTAAGAGGCTCTGCATCCTCTTAGTTGCTTCTAATTATGATTTGCTAAGCAACGACTGATGATTAATTGCTACCTGTCACAAAATATCAGGGTTTCCTTTTTCTATTAAGTGTTTCTATTCCAGAAGAGCTGACTGCAATGTAGATTTCATTCCCTATTGACACGTAGATAGAATTTCTCCATGCAGGTTCCTTGATTTTCCAGCATGACTTAGTTGAAAGTTGTTGGAAACCCCAGTGAAATGACATTAACGACCAGTCTGGCTGTTTGTATTTTCCACAGTGTTTCCATTAAAATTCTGGAGGGAGGCCGGAAAGACACCTGCATAGTTGCTAGCTGTCCATTTTCTAAACGTTGAGAAATCCAAACTTTGAACTGCAGCAAGGTAGAAAGGGACGAAGAGAGTTAATCAACATTTGATTTCAGGTTATACCTTTCAAACAGTGTACCTGAGAGGAAATGGACAAACTGCAAAAGAGACCATTTGACCTGTTTTGTCAGCATCAACATGGAATTTCAAAAATTTTGCTTGGAATTTAGTTTTGGGCTTTTAGTTGATCAATATTTAGTGATACCACATTGAAAATTTTAGCAAACTTTTCAGGGCAGAAGCGTTGGCAAAATCGTAATTGTTAGTCAATCTGTTGTTTTAAAACCCATTATGTCATTCAACCAGGTTTAATTTTTTCAAGAGCTTTTACTGAGATTGATAGTGTGAGAAATGGATGTTCAAACCAAATCAGATAACTTGAACAGTGCCCACTTGGAGCAGTGGCAATTCATTGACATCAGCTTTGGGCTTCTGTACTTGACAGGCATGTGAGGTATTACTGTTCATTTCACATTTGTAATCATAGGGAGCATTTACAATTTCATCATCATTATGACAGTAAAATCCTAGGTCAGCATTATTAACAATGTTCTTCAATTGTGAATTACTTATGAGGCTTGAGGGTTGAATCTAATGTTTTTGTTTACAATAGTTTGAGACATCTCAGTTAACAATGTAACATTGTGATTCACTGTGGCTTAGTCATGATTTCTGTGAACATTGAAAATGACATTTTCTTAATTTCCTAACATCAGGAACTGATCGATTCAATAGTTGTGCAATAGTATGAGAAATGTCAATTACTTGAGACTATTTCTAAGGAATGTATGAATTTGAAAATTGCGTGTAAAATGTAACTGACCTTTTCTATGGATAATTTGATCCTCGAGACTTTGTTTTAGTGGAACATAGGCTGGTTAACTTTAAACATTAAGTGATGCAGAGATTTTGTTACCATGATGCAAGTGTAAGTTAAGCAGCTGTCATTGGTAATATTAAATAAACAACACTTCTTTTGTAATGGCTAATTTAGCAGCAATTTGTCTAGTTTGTCAAGATGGATAATGATACAGAAATAGAATGTGCATTTCTATTTTTCTAAATATCTGCTCTTTGAAATTATACATTTATTATAAGTAGTCAAACTGCCACAAATCTTGTAAAATAAATAGCTTTGTAATTGAAACAAATGACACCTGTAATTAAGGTCTGACTTTGTCTCCCTCAACAGCTGATGTACTTCAGCTAAATAAATACATTTGTTGATCTTGAAGTTTTTTAACAGTATGAATAATGGTGTGGTTGGTTACTTATAAATGTTTATAATGCATTTTGATTATTGCTTGTCACCATATTTGTGAACATCTTTCTTGCTTGTTGAGCCATATTTATATTGAATCAGATACAGAGAACTGTACAGAACACTATTTCTGAAACTGACCATGCTATGGGCAGGTTGCTTGCTAAAACAAAAGATGGTGAAAATTGCATCTGTTTTTAAGCAGGTGATATAAATTTGTTTCAATTATTAGAAATTTATCCTCAGTCAGAGGTGGTAGGTTCATGATCAAAAACAGAATTTAGTGGAAAAGCTCAGCGGGTTCGGCAGCATCTGTGAAGAGAAATCAGAGTTAACATTTCGGGTCCAGTGATCCTTCCTCAGAAATCTGATCTGACACAGCTTTTGGGATCATCGTTTTGTTGGAGTTCTTGCCTTTACTTGAAATGTTATATTGGCTGCCTGTTCAAGTAAGAGACCCCTAGAATGCTAGAGGAACAGAGATTTCAGCCTAGTCAGTATTTCTCTTTCAGCTAGCATCATAGAACAAAATAATTAGTTATTTATTCAATGACTATTCACTGGGATTTTCCTCTGCATGTAAGTGTCAGTGCATTTACCAAACGATGCACCTTCACCTATTCTGAACTAGGGTTGCTCAACGTTTGCAGTATTATGAGAGTGTTGGCTGCGTGCTTATTCAAAGCTAGTCCAACTAGAAATGCAATTTCCTAGAAACCAGGTAGCTAATTTGTCTATACACAGAAAAGAGACCACTACCCACATACAAAACTCAAGATTACCCCACCCCCTGCCAAGAAAGCAACTTCAAAAAAAAGAACATTACAGTGGTAAAAAATATTTAGGACTGACTATCCATTCATTAATGTGGTAGGACTTGATAATAAAAAAAAGTGGTATTTCTTCAGGAAATTAATGATAAAATTGGTCTTCACGTGATATTTTTTTCCATCATAAATTTTGATGTATATCAGAAGTTAATTCAACAATACTTTCTTGGTCGCAGCATTTAAACACTGGTTGCAAGGATCTTACGGTCTTAAGGCTGTATCTATTTAAACTGAAAACTGTCCAACTCTACTGTAACCAGGGGATCAAAACTGCCTTCCCATACATCTGTAAACCCTGATGTGATGATATGAGGCCACTAACCCAACAATATCAAGTCAGTCTTCAATATCACTGAAGTTGGTCAGGAGACAAAATCAGTAGCCGAATCAATAATTTTCATTGACCACATCTCTTCTTGCATGGGGCCATAAAAACATTAAGGGAGTCACACCAGGTTATGTTACAATGGTGGATATGAAGGATCAAAACCAGATCCTGGCTACTTTCAGCAGAAGACTGATGTTGAAGGTAAGTGAGTCTCATTGGTGATGTAACTTTGAGTTTTCATGGTGTTTAGTCTGCACTAGTTTCTTTTCTCAGCATAAGAGATGCACAGAAAGTGCTAGAATAAAGTTTGTGCACTTCAGCATTGGACCTTGAGATTGTTGTTCTCTATGGAAATTCCGTTGCTGGCCATGATGGGTTTGATCTGATGGGTTTGATTAACTTGAAACAGAAACTGAACTGTGGCTACAACAGCAGGTCAAAGGCTAGATGTCCTGTGGTAAACAACTCTCATTCTGGCTCCCCAAAGATGTTTCACTGTCTACATGTCAAGAATGTGATAGGATACTCCTCAATTACCTGGATGAATGCAGTTCTAACAGCACTTAAGAAGTTAGAGACCATCCAGGACATAGCAATGCACTGGATTGACATCAAGTCTAAAAATGTTCACTCCGTTCACCACCCATGCTTGGTAGAAGCAATATGTACCAGCTTCAAAATGCATTGTAGTTATTCACCAAGATGCCTTAAAGAGCACTTTGTATACTCACAACCACTGCTATTGAGAAGGACAAGGGCAGCAGAGGAAGAAAAATAAAATTTGACACCAAATTAAGTTACAATCAAATTAGGGACTCTTTTTAAGTTGACACAAAGTAACATCCATGGTTTTGAACAAACAGCAATGCTTTACTATGAAAATTAGCACAGTAACACAATCTACAGTAAGCTTACAACTTATTTCTGACATGCAGAATTAATTTGTGGTAAATGGACATGTTGGGCCGAAGGGCCTGTTTCCACACTGTAGGGATTCTATGATCTTCTAAACATAGGTGATATATTGTAATCAATACCTCATGTCATGGCATTAAAAATAGCAACACAATCAAGACTAATCCATCTGACTTCTTAGCAATTTCTCCCATATTTTACTGACGTAGCAGACAATCAAATGTCATTCAACTCCAGAAGGAATTACAATACCTCACTTTTGCCAATCTAGCCTTGAAACTTGGTCGCAAGCACCACTCCATTCATGAACTGTCTCGATGATTCCTCCTGTTTTGATCAATCAGCCTTCTTTGTTGGGTCTCTGTTCCCTTTAATTCTAAAAACTGTTTGCTAATACAATACTTACTCAGAGACCCAGCTTTAGCTTCACCAATGTAGATATGCCCCTGGGAAATAAAGTGGAAATTTAATGTTCCATTTTTGTGGCTGGCATGGGTCTATTTGATATTTTAAAGATCCAGAAGTTATTTTTGATTTGATTTTATGAAATATGGAGAAAGAAGTTTATAATTAACCAAAATATCAACGTACTAGTCCAAAACTTTCAACAGGAATACTTGTAAAATACAGAGAACATCGAACAAAGAACAGTGCAGCACAGAACCCATCAAGTCTGTTCTGACCATGGTGCCATTCTCAACTAATCCCATCTGCTTTACATGGTCCATATCCCTCTATTCTCCGGGGTCAAAATATGTGGAGCTGGAAAAGCACAGCAGATCAGACAGCATCCAAGGAGCAGGAAAGGTAACATTTCGGCCCGAAACATTGACTTTCCTGCTCCTCAGATGCTATCTGATCTGCTTTGCTTTTCCAGCTCCACATTTATTGACTCTAGCTTCCAGTAGCTGCAGTCCTTACTGTCTCCTCCCTCTATTCTCTGCCTGTTCATGTGTCTGTCTAAATGCCTCTTAAACTTTGTTAACTTATCTGCTTCTACCACCTCTCTTGGCAGCACTTTCCAGGCACATACCACCCTCTGTGCAAAAGAAATTTCCTTGCACAGCTCCTTTAAACTTTCCCTATTCACCTTAAACTTATCCCCCCCCGCCCTCAGGATTTGACATTTAGCCCCTAGGAAAAAGACTCCGAGTATCAACCCTGTCCATGCTTCATTATTTTATGTACTTCAATTAGGTTGCCCTTCGGCCTCTGACAAATATAGCTCTAGATGTTCTGTCTATGCTTCCAACCAAGACCATTAGCTCTTTACCTGGTGAGAGATAGCCTGTCCATGCAGGCACAAGTCAGCTTGTAGGCTATGTCCCATAACTGTAATATTGCAATTGACACTTTGGAGTTAAATCCTGCTTTTGTCTAGTTGGTTTTGTTATGTTGTATGAAAATGTGTTTATCAATTCTCTTTTAAATATTAAAGCATCACTGCATGTTGTAAATATTATTTAAGACTGAAGAATAGATAAATGCATGATTACATTTGTTTTGCAATAATACTTTGGTTGAGTTTTAATAATACCCTACACTGTGACTCATATATTGAACATTAATAAATGCAATTTAAATGAATAATTTAAGAGCAGCTGTGACACAAGTAGGAAAAGCTATTGTAATATGGAAAGTAGCTGCTTTGGTTTTCCTCTTTTGCATCTTTTCTCCTTGCCAAGAAGTTAATTTGTACTGACCTACAGTTCCGCAAGCACCTCCAGCCGCTTCAAACATGACCACTCTTTATGAGTGAATGTATACAGTGAGTGTTGAAAGAAGACTTTGCTGGGGAGATATTGAATATTACTCTATACGCACTTAGTGTAACAGTAAGGAGCATGTATAATCAGCTGACTTCAAAAATTCAGTGACCCTCTCAGGGATGTATGATTTTTTTCCTTGCAGTGAAGGGTGAAAAGAAGGATGCCTAAATTTATTTGTACTATCTAAGAAAACCCTAACCTCAATAAATGTCATTTTAATTTTGTGATATCTACAATTACAGCCGGTAAGAAAGATTCTTGAATCTTGAAGTCCTGAAGAAGGGTAATACCCAAAACGTTGAATTCTCCTTTTCTGTGGATGCTTGCTGTGTTCTTCCAGCCTCTTGCTTGTATTCCTTGGATTCCAGAATCTGCAGTTATTCTTTTTGTCTCTAAGAAAGATTCATATCGTGACTTATTGCTCCTCTCAGGACATCCCAAACTTCTTCCCATGCAATGCTACATTTAATTGCATTTTCATGCGTCTGTAAAAAGATTAAAATAATTATTCTACTGCTGTTCTGAAGAAATCATTTTTGTGATTAAGCACATATGGCAGTAAATTTCTGTAAATTACCAGCTTCACAGGTCTTGTCCTTTTTCGCTTCGCTATCATAACAAAACATAGAGAGCACAGCTGGCAGATCAGTGACTGTCTCTTGTAATATATACATATATATCACTAATTCACAAGAGGAAATAAAGCAATTTATTTGTATAATGCTGTTCTACTGCGACTGACCAAACCTAAAATGGAATAATACCAAATGACAGCATGTAAAAACATGCGGAAGACAGCAGCCTGGCTGGAAGATATTGATTTAGTTACGGTTTTTAAAATGTTACAATGAACAATGCATTATAAAACTCATCTAATCTTTGCGCTCAGATTCTGAGAGAAATTTGCTTAAGCTGCTCTTTCTTGTCCATTATTGTCATTCAAAAATAGGACTATGGGACAACCCGACAACATTTTCTGAATTGTAAACTCTCTATTTATTTCTTCATATCCAATACATTAATTAACCTTAGTTGCATTAGTCTAGTGAGAAACAATTGGTAATCTGATTTAGTCCACTGTGAAAAAGCAATAGATTATCAGAAAGTGCTTGTATTCAATCAATAGTGATG